CGGCACCACGGGCGGTGTAGTCCCGCCGCCCGCCCCGGCCCGCTCCGCCCCGCCCGGGGGCTGCCCCGCACCGGCGCCGTCCCGGGACAACCGCTGCTGTGGACGGGCTGGGGGGTCCCTACACCGCTATACCGGGCGGGGGACCCGCGGTGATCCCCGCACGGGGCTGGGCACCCGGGGGCGACGTATAGTCCCTATAGGGGACTGGGGACCGGGGGGGACATATAGTCCCTATAGGGGACTGGGGACCCGGGGGTGACATATAGTCCCTATAGGGGACTGGGGACCGGGGACCGGGGGACACACATAGTCACTATAGAGGACTGGGGACCCCGGGGACGACACATAGTCCCTATAGGGGACTGGGGACCGGGGACCGGGGGACACACATAGTCACTATAGAGGACTGGGGAGCCGGGGTGATCCCTAAATGAGGCTGGGGACCCGGGGTGATCCCTATGCGGGGATGGGGACCCGGGGGTGACATGTAGTCCCTACAGGGGACTGGGGACCGGAGGGTTATCCCCATAGGGGCTGGGCACTCGGGGGTGAGATATAGTCCCTATAGGGGACTAGGGACCCAGGGGCAATACATAGTCCCTATAGGGGACTGGGGACCGGAGGGTTATCCCCATAGGGGCTGGGCACTCGGGGGTGAGATATAGTCCCTATAGGGGGCTGGGGACCCGGGGTTATCCCTATAGGGGACTGGGAACCTGGGGGTGACATATAGTCCCTATAGGGGACTGGGGACCTGGAGTTATCCCTATACATGACTGCACAGCTAGAGGAGATATATATCCACTATGTGGGGCTGGGGACCCAGGGGCTCTACATATGCCTTATACAGGGCTGGGAACCTGGGGTTATTCCTGTACAGGGCTAGACAGCCAGGGGTTACATATACCCCTTATATGGGGCTGGACAGCCATGGGTTATATCCACCCCCTATACAGAGCTGGGGAACCAGGGGTTACCCCTATACAAAACTGGACTCTCGGGGTTACAGATACCCCCTATATGGGGCTGAACAGCCAGGGGTGACATATAGCCCCTATACAGAGCTGGGGACTCGGGCGTCATATTTACCCCCTACACAGGACTGGGGACCTGAGGTTATCCCTATATATGGCTGGATGGCCAAGGGTGACATATGCTGCCTATACAGGGCTGGGAACCTGGGGGTTAGATATACCACCTATACAGGGCTGGGGATGCCGAGGTTATCCCTATATGGCGCTGGACTCCCGGGGGTTACATATACCCCCGACATAGGGCTGGACAGGCAGGGGTTATATATAGGCCCTATACCTCAGCAGGTATTTAGTTTTACAGGTGTTAGTTACTCCCTGTATAGAGCTGGATACCCAGGATTATATACAGCCCCTGTATAGAGCTGGGCACCCCGGGCTTATATATCCCCTTTGGACATTGGGGGTTATCTGTACCCTTATAGAGAGCACGACACCAGGAGTTAGCCCTATGCAGAGCAGGGGTTATATATAGCCCCTGTACAGAGCTGGCCCCTGGGACTTATATATATTCCTATAGAGACCTGGACACCCAGGTGTTATGTATACCCTTATACAGAGCAGGACATCCAGGTGTTGTATATACCCCCTATATAAAGCTCCTTATACAGAGCAGGACATCCAGGAGTTGTATATAGCCCCAACATAGAGCCAGACATCAGGGGTTATACGCACCCCTATATAGAGCTGGTACTCAGGACTTTTATACGCCCCCCATACAGACGTGGACACCCCGGGGTTACACATAGAGCCCCCCCATACAGAACGGGACACCCAGGCTTACGCAGACCCCTATATACAGCCAGGCAGCGGCGGTTAATGCCCCCTACCCAGGTTTACGCATCCCCCCCATAGCATCCGTAGCCCCCGCGGCTCCAACGCCGGGGCCAGCGACACCCCGTCCCCGGGCTGGCGGCCGGCGCGAGGTCCCGGGCGACAGGTGGGACCCCCGGGGTGGCTACTGCTTGTCGATGGCACCCTGCTCGGCGGCACTGTCGTGGGGCGCAGCCTGCGCCTGCCACGACGTCTCCTTCAGCACGAACCAGCAGTTCCCGGCCCACAGCAGAAAGTTGATGAAGCCAAAGAGCTGGGGGGAGAGGAGAGAGCCCCGGGTGGGGGGCACCCGTGGCTGAGCCCCAGCCCCCGGTGCCCCACGCGTCCCGTGTGACCCCCGCGCCTCATGCTTGCAACCCGTGCACCCAATGCACCCCATGCGCCCCGTGCACCTTATGCACCCCATGTGCCCCGTGCACCTCATGCAACCCATGCAACCCACGCATCTCATGCAACACGTACAACCTGTGCAACCTGTGCACCCAATGCACCCCATGAGCCCCATGCACCTTCATGCAACCCGTGCACCCCATGCACCTCATGCAATGCGTGCAACCCATGCAACCTGTGCACCCAATGCACCCCATGTGCCCCATGCACCTCATGCAACCCACACACCTTGTGTGCCCCATGCATCTCATGCAACCCATGAACCCCATGCATCCCCCGTACACCTCATACACCTCGTGCACTCCATGCACCCCAACCACCCATGCCAGGGGCTGCATCACCACCGCCGACCCCGGCATGGGAGTCCCCTGTGACTGGGGGGGGGGTGTCTCACGGGGGTGCAAGATGGGTCCCACGTCCTGTGGGACCAATGCGGAGTTAGCAGCATGGCCATGGAGCACGTGTGTGCACATTTCCACTGCCCTCTCCCAGCTGAGCTCAGGAATCCAGCATGCGTGTGCATGCATGAGGGCTCGCAGGTGTGACTGTACGTGGGTGCGTGCCCATGTGTGTGCATGCATGTACATGCCTGTGTGCACGCTGTGTTCACATGTGCGCATGCATTTTCACGTGAACATGCGTGTGCATGGGTGCACATTCATGTGCATGGGCTTGGCAAGCATGTACAGGCATCCACGTGTGTGTGTGCACATGTGTGCATACATGCACGTGCATGTGCCCCCGCAAGGGCTGGGGGCTGCTTAGCTCTGCTTGAAGCATCATAAATGTCTCCCTCAAGCAAATAAATACATATACGTGCTCATGTGTGCATGCCTGTATATACACCCACGTGTGAATACGTGCATGCATGCGTGCCTATACCCCGTGTGCATCGGTGTGCACCGGTGCCCGGCTCTCACCACGGAGATGTTGGCCAGCCCCATGGCCGGCGTGGTGCCGGCGTTGCAGACCACCTCCTGGCCCTGGCAGACCGCCATGGCAGCGATGAGGCTGGCGGGCCGCGTGGCCGCCTTCACGTCGGCGAGCCCCTTGCCCCACGCCGCTGCCGCCACCAGCCAGAAGAAGGCGAAGCAGACGGTGACACAGAAATCCTGCCGAGATGGGGACACTGGGCTCAGCACCGACGCCGGTACAGAGCGCTGCAGGATCCACCCCCCGCTTAGGGATGTAGCCGCCTTACCGCAAAGGGGAGCTTCTTATTTTCGCCATAGAGGGAATGAAAGCGCAGGTAAAGCACCAGAGCTGCCATGGCGTAGAGGAAGGAGAAGACCCCCAGGGTCACAAAAAATTCAGCAGGAGCAGAGAAATCACCGATGAGGTGCAGGGTGCGGGTTTCTGACTCGCCCTCGCAGTCCGGCATCTCGAAGGGGACCTGGTATAACCTGGGAGAACGGGAGGGGGATGTCGGGTGACCCGGGAATGGAGGGGACGATGGGGATGGCTCTGCCAGCCCAAAATAACTGCGCTGGGTTGGTCCCCCAGGGATGGAAGGAACAGACCAGCTGCCGGGTCAGAATCTGGACACTTTGCCGCAGTCCAGTGCCCCGGCATGGGGCAGGTGGCTGAAAGAAGGGGTTAAAACTGTGGCTCATGCACGGCTGGCCCAGCTCCATCCTCGTCTTTCCTGATTAATGAGGATTCCCCCCGTAGCTGGGGGATGCCCCACAGTGCCGGGGGTGCAGAGGGTCCCCAGCTGGACACGGTGCTTCCCTGCCCACAGGGACCGTGACTGCGGTCCCATGGGGGTCCCAGCAGTGGGGATGGGGTTTAACCCCAACCCAGCACCTCATGTTCCCCCTGGCTCGCTGTGGAGCCATGTTGGGTGCCTGGGTGGGTTCCGGAGGGGTGTCTGGGCTCGGTGCCCCCTCACCTGAAGGGATACCCGAACTGGACGGAAATGGCACTCATCTCTTTGGTTTCACCGCCGCATTTCACCGTCGCCCCAGTCTCGCCGCTGAAAGAGCCGCAGGCCCCGAAGGCAAAGATGGCAAAGAGCTACGGGAGAGAAGCAGCGCGTCGGGGGGCAAGGGGAAGGGGGGGGGAGCTTGAGACCCTGGGGACCCCCCCCACCCCGGGGTGGGATGCACCCAAGCGGGGGTTTGCACCCCCCGGCGCTGAGTCATGGAGGCCGTGGTGGTGCAGGGCGAGCTGCCATCCCGCAGCTGTCAGCCTCGCGCGCCAGCACCGGGGCTGCTGCCGGCACCGGCATTTGCGTCTGGGGATGAAAGGGGCAGCGGCAGCGACAGGGGGGCAATGCGACAGGGGGGGCAACAAGGCCAACCCCCCCCCGCCCCGCCCTTAATTTTAGGCATAGTGCTGAGCGACGGAGCAGGTTTCCAGCAAGCCGGGAGCATCCCTGTTGTGGGACCCCCGGGGTCACCCTGCCGCCATCGGTCCCCCTCCCTGGGGAGCCGCCGCTGCCATTTCCCGGCCCTCGGCGCCGAGCTGCTCTTGTCTCCGGCCGAGGGTGCCGGGAAAACGTTGTTCCCAAATAGTTTTCTGGCAACTCATCCCAGCTGAGCTCACGGCTTCCCGCGTCCAGCCGGGTGAAGGGGGGAAGCTGAGACGCCAGGCCTGACGCCGTGGGGATGGGCAGGCCCACGTGTGGCACCAAGGGTCAAAGCAGGAGCATTGGCAGCCGCCCCAGGGATTTTCCTCACCCTTTTGGCTTCGGGGTGTCTGCCCGCAGGGCCTGATCCTGCACGGTGAACCCACTGGCAGGGGGTGCCCAGCGCCTGCCCGGGTCGGATTATCCAAAGCAGAGAGATGGGATGGGGGCAAAAGCCCCCTCGACCTGGCTCCTCCGGGCAGGAGATGCCCAAACAGGTCTGGCCTTGTGCCCTGGGGCCAAGCCCCCCACCCCGTGCCTCAGTTTCCCAGCGCTGGCACCTGGGTGTGGGGCCGGCTGGGAGCCCCCCGGCCACGGTGAGGCCGTGCTGCAGAAATGTCGCCCTGAAATACAATCCCAGAGCCATTCATGGCACGGCCCGGACGGGGACGGGGCTGCGGGCGCTTGGCTCCCCCCATCCCCAGGGTCCCCCCTCGTGGGGCCCACTGACCCCCAGCCCCCCTTCCCCACCCAC